TCTCGATAAGCTTTCCAACGATACCCATGTTGTCCCGGCAGAATTTATCCTTGTAGGAGTAATGGCCGGAATAATTATCCTTACCCCAGGATAATTTCAGAAATGGGTGGATTCGGAGGCATCGGGCAATATTTTTGAATCTTTTTATTATTGCTATGGAGAGCACTGTCGATAAGCTTTCCAACGATACCCATGTTGTCCCGGCAGAATTTATCCTTGTAGGAGTAATGGCCGGAATAATTATCCTTACCCCAGGATAATTTCAGAAATGGGTGGATTCGTCGGCATCGGGCAATATTTTTGAATCTTTTTATTATTGCTATGGAGAGCACTGTCGATAAGCTTTCCAACGATACCCATGTTGTCCCGGCAGAATTTATCCTTGTAGGAGTAATGGCCGGAATAATTATCCTTACCCCAGGATAATTTCAGAAATGGGTGGATTCGTCGGCTTCGGGCAATATTTTTAAATCTTTTTATTATTGCTATGGAGAGCACTGTCGATAAGCTTTCCAACGATACCCATGTTGTCCCGGCAGAATTTATCCTTGTAGGAGTAATGGCCGGAATAATTATCCTTACTCCAGGATAATTTCAGAAATAGGTGGATTCGGCGGCATCGGGTAATATTTTTGAATCTTTTTATTATTTCTGTGGAGAGTACTCTCGATAAGCTTTCCAACGATACCCATGTTGTCCCGGCAGAATTTATCCTTGTAGGAGTAATGGCCGTAATAATTATCCTTACCCCAGGATAATTTCAGAAATGGGTGGATTCGGAGGCATCGGGCAATATTTTTGAATCCTTTTATTATTTCTATGGAGAGTACTCTCGATAAGCTTTCTAACGATACCCATGTTGTCCCGGCAGAATTTATCCTTGTAGGAGTAATGGCCGGAATAATTATCCTTACCCCAGGATAATTTCAGAAATGGGTGGATTCGGCGGCATCGGGCAATATTTTTAAATCTTTTTATTATTGCTATGGAGAGCACTGTCGATAAGCTTTCCAACGATACCCATGTTGTGCCGGCAGAATTTATCCTTGTAGGAGTAATGGCCGGAATAATTATCCTTACTCCAGGATAATTTCAGAAATAGGTGGATTCGGCGGCATCGGGTAATATTTTTGAATCTTTTTATTATTTCTGTGGAGAGTACTCTCGATAAGCTTTCCAACGATACCCATGTTGTCCCGGCAGAATTTATCCTTGTAGGAGTAATGGCCGGAATAATTATCCTTACCCCAGGATAATTTCAGAAATGGGTGGATTCGGCGGCATCGGGCAATATTTTTGAATATTTTTATTATTGCTATGGAGAGCACTGTCGATAAGCTTTCCAACGATACCCATGTTGTCCCGGCAGAATTTATCCTTGTAGGAGTAATGGCCGGAATACCCCAGGATAATTTCAGAAATGGGTGGATTCGGCGGCATCGGGCAATATTTTTGAAACTTTTTATTATTTCTATGGAGAGTACTCTCGATAAGCTTTCCAACGATACCCATGTTGTCCCGGCAGAATTTATCCTTGTAGGAGTAATGGCCGGAATAATTATCCTTACCCCAGGATAATTTCAGAAATGGGTGGATTCGGCGGCATCGGGGAATATTTTTGAATCTTTTTATTATTTCTATGGAGAGTACTCTAGATAAGCTTTTCAGCGGTATCCATGTTGTCCCGGCAGAATTATCCTTAAAGGATCAATGAGCATATAACCTAGCCAACAGAAATAACTCTCTCGGCCTTTATCGTATAACTTAATGTTGCATTTTTGTGTTGAAAATAATAACAAAGTTCATAAAGTTTTATAATTTTTACTTAAATATATTTGTTATTATATTTTTATATATTATTATTATATTTTTGGCTAAAAAACATTTTTTTTTAACTCTGTTAACTTTAACAGCACTCTGTTAATTTTAACAGTACTCTGTTAATTGCTGAGTGGTTTGAGTATTTGCTAGATAGATTCGAATCTATCTTAATGGACATTCAATTTTTCTCATAGTTTCAACACCCACGGTTTTAAATAGTTTTTCAGAACATCCTTGCCAACTTTGGAACTTTTTTTTGAGAACTACCTTGGCTTAAACTAAACCTTTTCCAATGTTCCTGAGATGGGACAGCTTCAGAATGCAACATTAACATTTTTTCTTTGGGCTACTCAAAATAAGTCTGTTACAGCCGTCTTCAATATTAATGTTTTTGAATTAAAAATTGAGAACGGTACGGATACTATGGGTACTATTCAAAATATACCCCCATGTACCCAGTTTTCATATAAAACTTAGTACAAATATTAAAAATGCCAGTTGAAATTATATCAAATATCATGGGCTGTATCGTCATTTCTACAGACGGGCTTGTGACTCAACATTGTCTCACTACCCATAAATCGAAATACTCGTCCAAAACATGAATGTTTTAGATAGGAAATTATAAAATTAAATGGTACTTTCCAAAAATACTGGAGAATTGGAACACTGCTAAATGAAGAACTTTTTGTAGGGTTAACCTTTTGTAGGATTAACCTACTTTGAAGTATAAGTAATGGATACAACAATTTAAATCCAAATCTTGTTGTTTAACGCATTTATACGCAAGCGTACTGTAAGTTGAATTCCGAGACCATAATGCTTTAGCTTATTCATTATTGCAATCTCCCAATTTTATTCTAATACGGGAAATTTTGGGAGATCTGTAATGTAATTTTGTTGATGGCCTATGCCTGGAGCGTTACCCAAATGGACTTAACTTTATGGTACTCTCTATTACAGAGAGCCTTGGGGAAACTGACAGCATTGCTATATTTGCTGGTCGCTACAAATATCAAGATTTCATATCGGCGAGGAGAAGACTTTTTCAGCTTTTTGATATGGTGACGTATCGGAATGCATGGAGTCTTTCTAAGTCACACACGATTTTTTAAGAGTTTTCAAAACATCTTTGTCCGTTTGTGGAACTATTTTCAAAGCTATCCATGTCGTGGTCTTTAATTTGACATTTATTTGTGAGGAAAAGGGTCAGAAGGGGTTTTCAGCTTTTCGATATGGTGACGTATCAGACCGCATGAAGTCCTTCTAAGCCACACACGATTTTTTAAGGGTTTTCAAAACATCTATGTCGGTATGTGAAACTATTTTCAAAACAATCCAAATCTTGGAATTTAATTTGACATTCACATTTGTGATCCTGAGGCCTATGCCTGCTTTACAATTTGCCTGCGGTGGCCTATGGCTCTACCATAGATCAGAACAAATTCCAGGGACTAGGCAGAATAAGCCTTTTGAAAAAGAAAATCATTCTGACAGAGTTCTTCTAAAATAAATACCAAAAGGATTTCAACAAATCTCTTTCAAAAATATATAACTGAAAAATTACCTTGCTTGATTTTATCCTCAAAACCAGTGAAGAAAGTCTTAAAGTCGGGCGGGGCCGACTTTATGATACCCTACACCACTTTGCTAATTTAGTAGAGCTCCACATAACAATTAAAAGTTTTTATGGGAGAATTCAATCACACACGCTATAATTATAATTTAAAGTTCAAAGGACTAAATATGTAACCGATCTCGATAAAATTTAGCAAAGATATTTCTGAGCTGTATTTGATCTATTTTCTTGAATATCGTTGTTACGGAGTGCATATTACGGATGTGGGTAACAAATATAACAAATCGGATGAACAATATATATGGAAGCTATAGCTATATCTGAACCGATCTTCACCAAATTTGACATACTAGCTTCTAGACTCATTTTGGTCGTAAATGCCAAATTCCATCCCATTTAGACAAATATTAGACGTTTGGTGCACAATAAAAGGTAAATCGGACGAAGTTATATATTGGAACTATATCCAAATCTGAACCGATCTCGATAAAATTTGGCAAATGTATTTCTGAGCTGTATTTGATATATTTCCCTAAATATTGTTGTGCATATTACGGCTGCGGAGGACAAAAATAACAAATCGGATGAACAATATATATGGGAGCTATAGCTATATCTGAACCGATTTCGATCAAATTTGGCATACTTATTTTCAGGCCTAATTTGGGTGTATATGCGAAATTCCATGCAATTCGGATTGTTATTATACGTTTGATGCACAATAAAAGGTAAATCGGACGAAGATATATATGGGAGCTATATCTAAATTTTCACCGATTATCTCCAATTTCAATAGGGTTCGTCCTCGGACCAAACAAATGATTTGTGAAAAATTTCATCTGGATCGGGCAATAAATGCGACCTGTACTTTGTTTACAAAAATATATGGACAGACGGACGGACATGCATAAATCGACTCAGAATGTGATTCTATGCAGATCATCAAAAGGAACTATGGGTCTATCTCGTTTCCTTTTGCCTGTTTCAAACAAATGCACAAAGACATAATACCCTGACCACCTTGTGGTGTAGGGTATAAAAATAGAATACCAAAATGGAGTAGATCAATCAAAAAGTGAAGCCAGACTCCTGAATCCCCTGAGCTATTAAATCATGAAGGTTACAAACTTTTTGGCTCATTCAAACATTCTATATACCCTAAAAAGCTGGTGTTGTAGGGTAGAAGTGGCATTTTTTCCAAGAACTTAGGAGTTACTAGGATACCGGCAAAAAACGTGCCAGAAGGGATTAGCTTGTTCCGTATTAAAATCTGGAATATGATTTTTAATATCGCAATTTATGAAACCTTGCATGGAGGCTTCCGGAATACCAGACATGATTAAATAATGATTTGCAAAATATCCTGGCAACTATGTAAAACCTAGTCTTAGGTTCGACTTCCTTTCGTCTTTCTGATATTAAACTGCCTCATAAGGCATCGGTATCAGTTTTATGGACTTTAACACAAAATTCCCTTGGACTAACCAAAATATGTCTGTTGCGTTCTTATTTGGATCGACCTCAAAGTACTATTCTAAATTAAATAAAAAATGTCATTAAATTATTATTCTTTAAAAACTTGTAACTTAAAAATAATTACCTTTCTTAATGTTAATCCACACAATAATATAATCCAAAAAAATATAGTCGGATCACTCAAAAAGTGATGCTGGCAGAATCCTTAGTTCACTGAGATATTAATCCATGAATAAATGAAATTAGACGGAATTATGATTCAGTTAAGAGCTGGATTGCTGGTGGGGTGATGTCGGGGGGATGGGTTGATGTGAAAAATATTGCTTTTGTTTGTGGCAGCAGCTGGTGTTGTTATTGTTATACCAATAACAGACTGCGGCAGACGCAGAATTATTTTTTATTTTATTTTCAAAGAATAGTTGTTCAAAATATTTTAGCACTTTTTTGAGCAGCTCGAATTATTTATAATTATTTTCCTTTTTTTTTTTTTTTTGTTAACTTTTCTTGTTTACACTTTTTTGGGAAACAAACATGGCAAGAGGTTGAAAAAACTGGTTGAACAACACTTGGACGACAACAACGTTGGGTGTTTTACTTGGCAAAGATGATGGGGCAGAGGGTTGCTGCTGCTGCTCTTAAGCCACTTAACGCCCACTCGCAATAAAACAATAAACCGTAAGACGGACGACACAAATCTCAATACACACCCATAGATTAAGGGATTTTGCACAGATTTTGTTTAATTTTAACGAATTTTGTTATTATTTTCATTGAACTTTTATTGGATTTTTTAATTTCTGACAAGATTTTCTTGGCATTATTTACTTTTTGTGACAATCGGAAGAAAAAAATTTGCACAACAAAACGTCAAACAGGCGCCTGCTTTTTAGCATTGGCTATTTGATGTGGCGCTCAATATTAACAGAGATACACGGAGAGCCGTCAAAATAAGGAGACACAGAGAGAGAGAGAGAGAGAGTGGTTGGAGACCACACACACACACGATACTCGTAGTGGAGTAAACCGGCTTTGTTTTGTACACAGCACGTTGAGCTGCCCCCCAAATGAAAAACACACAAATCTGGCAACTCTCGGGTTGGTAAACAAAATTTTTTACTTTTCCAAATTTTTTTGTTGGTATTTTTTTATTTAAATAAATTAACAAACACTTGTTTATTTATTACTTTTCAAATTAACGCAACGACACATAGACGCGAACACGTACCCGATTTGTCAAATACCGTAACTGGGGGAGTTTGACGTACTCCTTCAATTTATGTTTTTGTCACAAGAAAACAGGCGCAAACAAACACACAAATTTGTTTTAACTACCAACGATAGGCAGAGACGTTGACGTTGACTTCGTTGGCTCCACGCGCAACGGGGGGAAACACAGCAGACAGACGACGAAAACGACCGCAAAGAAATATATCAACGAAAATAAGAAAACAAATTGGATTTTCTGCTTCTTCTTCTTTTGCGATGTCAAAAAACGCAACACCAACAACACTCACTGACTTCTTTTTTTACTTCTTCTTTTGCGGCTGTCTCTATCCACCTTTTTTTACTACGGACAATGAGGTGGGGGCAGACCACCAATATCAATCTTATTAGCCGCCGCTTCACTTTTTCTTCATTCTTTTTCACACAAATGCAAAGGGAAACTAACCGAATTCTTTAGAGAATTTAAAATATTTCTTTATTTTATTCTATATTCATGGATTATTGCAACTTTTTTTCACAAAAGAAACAGACGGCAAATATTTTTTTTCTTTTTGGCTGCCCAAAAATACACACAGCTCTTACTTTCAACCACGGCTAAACGTCAGTCAAATCTAACTGATTATGTTTTGTCTGGTCTCCTTCTTCTTCTGCTTTGATAACACTACGACTCTCTCTCTCACTGCCTTTGATGGAGGGCAAACTCCACTCAATGCAAATTGTGGTGGTTGTTCAGTTTATGGCACACGCTCTCTCTCTCTCTCAATGGGGGTGCTCTCACAATTAAACAAACACGAATGCTCAGCTTGAAAACAAAATAAACATTGATTTTGACAACAGTCAGTCAGTCAGCCAGCAAGCAAACGAAACCGTGAAACACATGCTTGCCTTACCTGAGAGTGAAAAAGAGGGATGTATTATTGTATTTTGCTTATGAAGGCGGCAATGACTTTCAAACTGTGATTAGTGTTGTTTTTAGGTGATTTCACATTGGAAATAGCGATTTAAAGGTGCCAAAGAATTCCAATGAGATTTTATGGGAATTATTGAATGAAAATCATGAATTTTGTTTGGATTTTAATAAAATAACACATTGCGGAGGAATTGTTGACAGATTATTTAGGATTATTCTTTAAACAACTCTCAAACAAATGAAGATTTCTTCGGATATATTATCAAAGACATTCAGACTGCAGATGTGAATTTCTGAAAGGATATTTGAAAGCACGACTGTAATAATTAAAAACAATTCATGAAAAATCCAAATAAAATTCTTAAAAATCACCTAAAAATATCCTTAAATTAACTAAAAAATCCACACTTCGAAGAAACTCTTAAAAAATCCAAGCTTTAGATAAAATTGTAAATAAACTAATAATGACAGAAATTCTTAACAAAGCCTTGCTTGAGAAAATAATTAAAAATGCATGCTTGGAAAAAAATCTAGAAAAGAACACTCTTAAAAAAATTACTTTAAAATCCACGACTAAAAGAAATCTTTAAAACCCCACCATATTTTTGAAGGATCGATAAACGTGGATTTTTTCAAAAATATTTTTTGAAGGACTAATAAACGTGGATTTTTTAAAAAGTATTTGTTCATGGACCAATGAACGTAGATTTTTTTAAGAATATTTTTTTCAGGGACCAAAAACGTGGATTTTTGAAAAAAATTTTTTCAAGGACCAGCAAACGTGGATTTTTAAAAAATATTTTTTCAAGGACCACAAAAAGTGGATTTTTACATAAAATTTTTTCCAGTTAAAGTGGATTTTTAAAAAATATTTTTTTAAGGACCAGCAAACGTGGATTTTTAAAAAAATATTTTTTTAGGACCAAAAAAGTGGATTTTTACAAATATTACAAATATATTTTAAGTCCAGCCAACTTGGATTTTTATAAAATATTTCCAAGGACCAATATTGGTCCTTGAAAAAATATTCTTTAAAAAATCCACTTTAACTGGTCCTTGAAAAAATATTCTTCAAAAAATCCGCTTTAACTGGTCCTTGAAAAAATATTCTTTAAAAAATCCACTTTCACTGGTCCTTGAAAAAATATTCTTTAAAAAATCCACGTTTATTGGTCCTTGAAAAAATATCCTTAAAAAAATCCACGTTTATTGGTCCTTAAAAAAATATTCTTTAAAAAATCCACCTTTATTGGTCCTTGAAAAAATATTCTTTAAAAAATCCACGTTTATTGGTCCTTGAAAAAATATTCTTTAAAAAAATCAATGTTTATTGGTCCTTGAAAAAATATTCTTTAAAAAAATCAATGTTTATGGTCCTTGAAAAAATATTCTTTAAAAAAATCAATGTTTATTGGTCCTTGAAAAAATATTCTTTAAAAAATCCACGTCTGTTGGTCCTTGAAAAATTATTCGTTTAAGAAATCCACGTTCATTGGCCCTTGAAAAAATATTCGTTTAAAATATCCACGTGTATTGGTCCTTGAAAAAATACTCGTTTAAAAAATCCACGTTCATTGGTCCTTGAAAAAATATTCGTTTAAAATATCCACGTTTATTGGTCCTTGAAAAAATACTCGTTTAAAAAATCCATGTTTCTGTTGATCCTAAAAAAAATATTCTTTAAAAAATCCATGTTTCTGTTGATCCTTGAAAAAATATTCTTTAAAAAATCCACTTTTCTGTTGATCCTTGAAAAAATATTCTTTAAAAAATCCACGTTTATTGGTCCTTGAAAAAATACTCGTTTAAAAAATCCATGTTTCTGTTGATCCTAAAAAAAATATTCTTTAAAAAATCCATGTTTCTGTTGATCCTTGAAAAAATATTCTTTAAAAAATCCACTTTTCTGTTGATCCTTGAAAAAATATTCTTTAAAAAATCCACGTTTCTGTTGATCCTTGAAAAAATATTCTTTAAAAAATCCACGTTTCTGTTGATCCTTGAAAAAATATTCTTTAAAAAATCCACGTTTCTGTTGATCCTTGAAAAAATATTCTTTAAAAAATCCACGTTTCTGTTGATCCTTGAAAAAATATTCTTTAAAAAATCCACGTTTCTGTTGATCCTTGAAAAAATATTCTTTAAAAAATCCACGTTTCTGTTGATCCTTGAAAAAATATTCTTTAAAAAATCTACGTTTCTGTTGATCCTTGAAAAAATATTCTTTAAAAAATCCACGTTTCTGTTGATCCTTGAAAAAATATTCTTTAAAAAATCCACGTTTCTGTTGATCCTTGAAAAAATATTCTTTAAAAAATCCACGTTTCTGTTGATGCTGGAAAAAATATTCTTTAAAAAATCCACGCCTCGGTTGATGCTTGAAAAAATATTCTTTAAAAAATCCACGCCTCGGTTGATGCTTGAAAAATATTCTTTAAAAAATACACGCCTCATATGGTCCTTGAAAAAACATTCTTCGAAAAATCCACGCCTCTGCTGGTCTTTGAAAAAATATTGTTTAAAAAATGCATACTTCTGTTGGGCCTTGAAGAAATATTCTTTAAAAAATCCATGCCCCATATGGCCCTTGAAAATTTGTTTTTAAAAAATCCACGTTTATTGGTCTGATGGTTCTTGAAAAAATATTTTTTAAAAAATCTTAAAAAAATTAAAAATCCACAATAATTGAGAGAATCGAGATAATGTCGATCAAATAATGGTTATGTAGTAGATTTTGCAACCACTTTCATTACTTATCATTTATTGTGATTTAATTCACAATAACACATAATCTCGTTTTACCTCAGCTTAGTCTAAACACAAACCAAAATTATTATCACAGATCCAGGGTTGGAAAAATGGATTTACCATACATTTAGGTATGTGACTTCGACTAGCAGAGGAGCTTAAAATCCTAGTTATGAACCCAAGATCCCACCATTGCATTAATATTCCTAATATCCCTATACTTGTCAAATATAAACTCATTCCCATTCCCGCCTCTCCATTGTTATTGCACGACAGTAAATAATCATTATTGCCTTCTCCAATAGTTTTCAAACTGTAATTGATTGATTGCCTGGCACCGGCATTCAAATGCCTCTCATTTGTCTCAAGCCGTCAAACTTGAACATGTACTGAGCCTCTAAAAATAACTAAATGCCCCCATTAACGCCCAGACATTTATGTTAACATTATTGGTATTTAATCGTCTTACCTGTCAGTTTTATTTTGTTATTCCACCAAATGTGTCAATTATCTGGAATAAGAAGAAATGAAAAGTTTGTTATTCACATGAAGTTGTGAAAACATGAGATGTGTTCAGAGTAAATGAGAGCGAGAGAGAGGGAGCAGATAACTGGGATGGGAAGTCTTTATTTATAAGAGGTCTGTTGGTATTGCATTTCTTTGAAATAAATGGGTATTTTGCGTAAAGTGAGGGAAGAAAAAACGGATTTATGAAACTGTTAAGAAAATTTATGAACTTAAAACTAATTTTACATACAAAATCATTATCAGCATAACACTGCGCAACATAATAAAAAAATAATTGCAGGAAAACTCCAGCAGATTATTAAAATAATTGCAAAAGTGAGGTGTATAACCTAAATAGCAGGGGAAAGTTCCCCTCCCTTTTCTTTAAAAAGTCCACATTCATTGGTCGTTGAAAAAAGATTCTTTAAAAAATCCAAGTTTATTGTCCGTTGAAAAAATATTCTTTAAAAAATCCACGTTTCTGTTGATCCTTAAAAAAATTGTTCTTTAAAACATCCACTCTATGGATGGTCCATGAAAAGATATTTTTAAAAAAATGTATGCCTCTGTTGGTCTTTGAAAAAATATTCTTTAAAGAATCCATGCCACTGTTGGTCCTTGAAAAAATATTCTTTAAAAAATCCATGTCTCATGCATATACATTAAAACACATTCTAAGGTTAGAGGCGTCCATTATATGCGTCTAAGGCAAAAATCTCCTACAAAGCATGATTTAAGATCTATGACGCCAAAGAAAAAATATTCTTCATCAAATTTCACTGTTAGTTTCCAACAAAAAGAGATCTCTATGTATATCCGAAAATACTGGTGAAAATATTCCCCAAAACAAGTGAAAAAGCATCAGTTGGTTGTGCCGATAGATGTATAACCTCAGCCAATGTTCGGTTATTTAAACATATTTTGACTCCAGTTATGATTATTCAAATTTTTGACCCTCTGTGGAGTAGGTTCCGAAGAAATGGGCCAACATTGTCCATTTCGTATCGGACTTAAATAAATATGACATAAATATTGCGACGTACCAGGTTTGGACTATGTCGAGTGCTTCCTTCACTTTATATGAGATATGTGATAATCTCGGAAAATATTAAAATGTGCGTGAGGTACCCGATATAGTCGACCATTCCATTTTCACACTTCATCTGAAACAGATAAAAAAATATTGGTATAGGCAAAATTACAAGAAAATCGAACATTTATATCCAATTTTATGTGATATCATAAATTCCATATTCATATCAGGTTTCCGGTTGAGAGAAATATTTAGATATAGCGAGTTGTTCCTTTATGGGTGAGATACCAGAAGGGGTTGGCAGATATATATCATCTTCACAACGGATCTTTCGTTTGCAAAAATGTTTGGATGTGCGAAATTTGAAGAGAGTCTGACTCTTATTTCGGATTTTATGCTCATTTTGGTTATTCAAATTTTAAACCCTTTGTGGGGAAGGTACCAGGAGGAATGATTCGATCTCCACAAACTTTTTAATAGACCTTGTGTTGATGGAAATATTGAGATTTACCAAGTCTGAATGGAATAGAATATTAATTTCACGATTATGAGCCTCATGAATATTCAAAATTTTGAGCCTTTGTGGGGGAGGTACCAAAACGAATAAACCGATATGTACCATCTTTACAGCAGACCTTGTGCAGGTAAAAATAATGGGATGTGTGACATATTAAGAGAATCGGATGCTTATTTCGGATTTTATTCAAAAATGTTGACACTTTGTGGAGGAGGTACCAGAAGGAGTCGGCCGATATATCCCACCTTCACACAAGACTTTGGGTTAGCAGAAATAATGGTATGTGTGAAATATGAAGAGAACCGGATGCCTATTTTGGA